AGGGGGGGGGGCTATAAACTTTTTAGGGGCGATCAAATGTTAAATCATCTAGTAACAAATAAGCTCCTTTTTATATTCGCCAGTTTTTACAGAAATCGCCCCACTTCTATTCCATTTTCACCCTATAAAAGGTTGCTTATTTCTGAGAAAACGGTTCACTTTACAAGCAAAGTGATAAGGGACTTTTTTGTTCAAAATCGTGTCAGCTACATTTTTTGTTTGAAACTTTTTTTATCCATGCACAGATTTCTGGGAAATCGATGTTTTCCGTTTTTAACCCCCTTTAGGGGGTAATTTCTGACGAAGCCCGGGGGTACAAGTGGTAAACTTTTTTGCATCTTTTTTGGAGACTACTAGTGGACATTCATACCAAATTTCATCCAGGTCGGATCATTTTTAGAGGTTCAGTGGAATTTTTCCCTCTGACGACTGGACTAAAAAGAAAAACAGTCCATTGTATTAAACCCGTACTGTTTTTCTAACTAACGGGGGAGGGATGTTATAGCCGCAGCTATAACCATTTTATTAAAATAGGAGTAAGGCAACTTAGCAACAGAAATATAGAAATTAATTGGGAAACTAGGACATTCCGCAATGGAAATAAATACCACTGACATCCGAAAAGTCAGCATACTCATTGCCTACTTTAGTTCAATTGTGAAAATACAATCTTGCGGAAGCAGCATGCAAATAACGCAAGCTGTTCTTCGCAAGTTGCAGAAAGACGGAAGCTATTGCCCATCAGATTAAGAAATCAGGTTGCAAATGTCAGTAATGACCACATTAAAATTGAGAGCAACCGAAATCCGCTCGAACAGCTGACCGAAGTGCAAGTCCAGTCAGCAGTTCGAGCAAGTATATTAACCGTGACATACTGGAAAAAAGCAGAGAGTCTATTATCAGCTGTTATCCGAGACAACGCCCGTACGCCAACAGCTCACGCGTATAAAATATAAGTCGACCGATTAATAAAGTCAACGCGAACGCGAACTTATCTTTTAACCAAAATCTTATAACGCGAAATCGCCATAGTACAATTCAAATGTAACACATAACAGTTAATTGAGATATTGTAAGGATTTATTAAAGATATTAAAGTGTTATTTTGGGATTGAGTGTTTCATTTGTGCGTCCTGGCCCTCGGCGAATCCCCTACCTGTATCTTTCACCCAAGGGTACAACACTTACATTTCCTTTACATTTACCTTACATTTACGTTACATTTTCTTTACGTTTACATTACATTTCCCTTACATTTACCTTACAATTACGTTACATTTACGTTACATTTACGTTACATTTCCTTTACATTTACGTTACATTTCCTTTACAGTTATGTTACATTTCCTTTACATTTACGTTACATTTCCTTTACAGTTATGTTACATTTCCTTTATATTTACGTTACATTTCCTTTACATTTACTTTACATTTCCTTTACATTTACGTTACTTTTACGTTACATTTCCCTTACATTTACCTTACATTTACGTTATATTTCTTTTACATTTCCCTTACATTTATCTTACATTTCCCTTACATTTACCTTACATTTACCGTACATTTCCCTTACATTTACGTAACATTTCCCTTACATTACATTTACCTTAAATTTCGTTTACATTTACGTTACATTTCCTTTACATTTACCTTACATTTCCCTTACATTCACGATACATTTACCTTACATTTCCCTTACATTTACCTTACATTTACGTTACATTTACCTTACATTTACGTTACATTTCCCTTACATTTACGTTACATTTCCCTTACATTTAACATATATTTACGTTACATTTCCTTTACATTTACCTTACATTTACGTTATATTTACCTTACATTTACCGTACATTTACCTTACATTTACGTTACGTTTACCTTACATTTCCTTTACATTTACGTATTTCCTTTACATTTACGTTACATTTCCTTTACATTTACCTTACATTTCCTTTACATTTACCTGACATTTGCGTTATTATTTACCTTACATTTACGTTACAATTACCTTACATTTACGTTAAACTTGCTTTACATTTACGTTAGGTTTCCCTTACATTTATCTTACCTTTACGTTACAATTCCTTTACATTTACGTTACATTTCCCTTACTTTTACGTTACACTTCCCTTACATTTACCTTACATTTCCTTTACATTTACGTTACATTTACTTACCTTTTTCAAAAAAAGGTAAAAAAAGCGCTAAGCGTTGGTGAAACTGACCCAAATGGTGCTTCTCGTAAAGTATCACCATTTGGGCCAGCTTCACCAACGCCAATTACTTAATCGGAGAAACTGATGACTAATCCCGTTTGCTGTTTAGTAGAACTAATGATATGTATCATTTGTATAAAAGATTTGATATCAACAACTGGCGCCAAGTTAAATTTTACC